GAGGGGCCAGAGCTCATGGGACCTCATGTGCCTTTCCGAGAGCTGACTTCTCCTGTGAGAGACATGCACAGAGACTTTAGACAACCTTGAGCTCAAGAGTGGCATGACGTGCAGTGTTTTAAAGGGATCCCTCCCACTGCCTTCTTGTGAAGACAGAAGAAGCCAGAACTACTAAAAGGCTGTTGCAGGCGAGAGATGTTTGTTAGTGGCTCAGACCAGGCAGTGGCAGTGGACTTGCTAATAGACCTCCCGCATCGATGGACGTGCTCTGTGTCTGCACTGGTCAGCACTGGCCACTGGCCACTCGCTGTTATGCACTGGAAACAACAGCCAGTGTGAGGAAGAAAGTTTTATACTTGTTTTCCTAAGAGTTCTCACTTGGGCCATCCCTTTTTTTTCCCCTCTTTTTAATTTTGTTTAAATTTTAATTAATTTTAATTTAAATATGAATAGTCACTTGGGACTCATCATACAGCCCAGGGAGTGAGAATGGTCCGATTCCAGATCTAATTAAAAATACATGAATTTACAATTGCAAAGATGTGGAAACAACCCAAGTGCCCATCAGTACATGAGTCAATTAATAAAATGTGACCTATGTATACCATGGAGTTCTAACTCAGCCACAAAAAACAATGGTGATCTAGCACCTCTTGTATTATCCTGGATAGAGCAGGAGCCCATCCTACTAAGTGAAGTATCCCAAGAATGTATGAACAAGCACCACATGTACTCACCATCAAATTGGTGTTAACTAAACAACACTTAAGTGCACATATAGAAGTAACAGTCATCGGGTGTCAGGCAGGTGGGAGGGGGAAGGAGGGGATGGGTATATATACACGTAATGAGTGCGGTGCTCACTGTCTGGGGGATGGACACACTTCAAGCTCTGACTTGGTTGGGGCAAAGGCAATATATGTAACCTAAACATTTGTACCCCCACAATATGCTGAAATAAAAAAAAAATACAACATGATTCACTGATAGACTAGAGGAAAAGTGGGGGGTCAAGGATGACTCCGAGATCTGGGTCCTAGAAGGGCTGGAGTTGCTGCCCACTGCAATGGGGCATCCGTGGGGACATGCTGAGTTTGCAGACATAAGCCTGCGAGTGAAGCTGGCGAGTAGGCGGTTCGCTGGAGTCCGTGTAAATTTGAGTGTCATCACTATGGTGACAACATATAAAGCCAGGTGAGATTAGGAGGGGAGGGAGTGCAGATAACAGAGGACTGTGTCCTCCCGTCTTCTCTCAGTCGGGGAGAAGAAGAAGACCCAGAAAGGAGACTGAGCAGGAGCAAGTGGTAAGGGGGAGAGGGCCAGGTAGGGGAGTGTCCTAGAAGCCAAGTGAAGAAAGCACATCAAGAAGGAAGCATGTGATTCTGCCTCTAGCTTGTTCCCGAGAAGAGGCATGCCATCTTCAGCTGGACCTGCCCTTCCTGCCCTCTGGCAGTGGGTTCCAGTGTGGAGGACAGAGTGGGTGGGGAAGGTGGGGGAGGGATGGTCGACAGGCAGTTTGAAAACTCCTGGAAAAGGAGACAAGATTAAGACAGATTCCAACTCCAAATGAGAGAGTGCCTGGGTGGGAGAGAGCTTCCTTTAGCGTTTGCGTTTCAGCATAGGCTTGTGCAAGGCCATCAAGAGTAAGTGTTCACTGTGACTCTGTAAACTTGCTCCTTGAGCTTTTTCTTTGTTTTTCCCATCCCTCTGAGAAATGAGGTGAGTCCCAGCCTGATGTTTTTTCTCTATATACTCACTTTGCTCGTGCTACTCCCTCCAACCAAAGCGAGTCGCTCTTGGAAAAGGAGCAGGTTTGTTTCATTCTGTGGCTTTAGCATCTGTGCAGATGGTGCTGCTTGGGAGAAGGGGCTGAGGTCTTGGAAGCAGCACGGCAGCAAGACGATCCTTCTCTCCCGCCTTTAGAAGTGGACTTGCCAGAGGTCTGTCCCAGGCACACCCCGACGAGCCGGCCGCTGGGCAGCCCGGGCTGGTGACCGACGGCGCTGCCGGGAAGGGAAAATGCGTGCGGACAGCTGGCGTGGCTGTGGGCGCCTGCTGGCTTCCAGCAAACCCTAGGAAGGGGCATTGAGGGTGGACGCAGCACCATTAACTTTCTTCATGCTGGCAAAGGTGGTTTGAAAAGAAAATGGAAACCAGAGAAAAACAATAACAGGAGGACGTGCCTTGGGCATCCAGGGGAGATTTTATTCCTCTCTGAGTCACAGTGTTGCTTTGCATGCATCACACGTGCCTGGGAAAGGGAGATTGGCCCACACACCCCTTCGTTCCCTCTTTAGCCAGGTCTTGCAATAGAGGTCCCCAACCTGCAGGATAGAATTTGCCAGTAGATCTTGAAGCCTCATTGGATGTTTGCCAAAATAGTTGCCCTTTCTCAAACACACCCTTCCTCCCTGGTTCCCTGGAATTTCCCTTGGGCAGGGAGGGATATTTGATGGTGGCAATCTGTCCTCCACAGCTTCTAGAAAACGTACAGTCAGAGGCCGCTACCTCTCGCCTGTCCTCTCCCATTGGCCTCGCTCGTTCCCTGGACACTCACTCTGCTGGTCACAGTACAGCTGGGACCTCCCTCCGAAACAGGGTGGCCTGAGGCCCCACGTTCCCTGGTTTTGGGTGCCCACTACCTTCTTTGCATCACACCGAATGTGGCCAAAGAAACCTACTTTCCAAAATCCTGTCTGGGGGCTCATATCCCACTGAAGTAAACCCACATCTTTTCTTTCAAGGTTGGTTTCTGTAGCTCGACTTTGAAAAATGTTTAGAGAGTCCAGGTTGTTAGCACAGAGTCAGCAGCGGGAGCAGGATTTAGGAGCTGGGTAGGTGGCCCAGAGGGTGAGGGAGCAACAGAAGTAATTCTGT